GTCACATCCACAACTGGGTGTTGTTTTCGCTTTGGCTCCGTCTCTTCATTCTTTCTGGAGTTATTTCTCCACTTATCTCCAGTAGCATATTGGGCACCTACTGACCTGGGGAGTTCATCTTTCAGTATCCTATCTTTTTGCCTTTTCATACTGTTCATGGGGTTCTCAAGGCAAGAATACTGAAGTGGTTTGCCATTCCCTTCTCCAGTGGACCACTTTTTGTCAGAACTCTCCACCATGACCTGTCCATCTTGGGTGGCCCTACACGGCATGGCTCATAGTTTCATTGAGTTAGAATAACTTCAGATATTCAGATGATCCTTATGGCAGAAAGTGCAGAAGAACTAAAGAGCCACTTGTTGAAAGTGAAAGAGGAGAGTGAAAAAGTTGGCTTAAAACTCAATATTCAGAAAACTAAGATCATGGCATCTGGTCCCATCACTTCATGGCAAATAGATGGGGAAACAGTGGAAACAGTGTCAGACTTTATTTTGAGGGGCTCCAAAATCACTGCAGATGGTGACTGCAGCCATGAAATTAAAAGATGCTTACTCCTTGGAAGGAAAGTTATGACCAACCTAGACAGCATATTAAAAAGCAGAGACATTACTTTGCCAACAAAGGTCCGTCTAGTCAAGGCTATGGTTTTTCCAGTAGTCATGTATGGATGTGAGAGTTGAACTCTAAAGAAAGCTGAGCACCAAAGAATCGATGCTTTTGAACTGTGGTGTTGGTGTTGGCAAATACTCTTGACAGTCCCTTGGACTGCAAGGAGATCCAACCAGTCCATCCTAAAGGAGATCAGTCCTGAGTGCTCATTGGAAGGACTGATGTTGAAGCTGAAACTCCAATACTTTGGCCACCTGATGCAAAGAGCTGACTCATTGGAAAAGACCTTGATGCTGGGAAAGATTGAAGGCAGGAGGAGAAGGGGATGACAGAGGATGAGATGGCTGGATGGCATCACCGACTCAATGGACATGAGTTTGGGTAAATTCCGGGAGTTGGTGATGGACAGGGAGGCCTGGCGAGCTGCAGTCCATGGGGTCACAAAGAGTCGGACATGACTGAGCAACTGAACTGAACCATTACATACCCATAAGAATGGTCAATATCTAAAACACTGATACCACCAAATTCTCATGAGGATGTGAAGCAATGGGAATTCTCATTTACTGCTGGTGGCAATGCAAAATAGTACAGCCACTTTGGAAGACACTCTGATAGTTTCCTACAAAATTAAACATACTCTTACCATATGACCCACTGCACTCCTTTGTACTTATGCAAATAAATTGAAAACTTGGGTCCACACAAAATTCTGCACGTGGATTTTATAGCAGTTTTATTCATAATTACACAAACTTGATGCAACCAAGATATCCTTCTGTAGATAAATGGATAAATAAACTTGGTACATCCAGACAACAGAATATTATTCCATGCTAAAAGGAAATGAGCTGTCAAGCCATGAAAAGACTTGGAGGAACCGTAAATGCATATTACTAGGTGAAAGAAGTCAATCTTAAAAGGCTATATATTGTATGATTCCAACTATATGATTCTGGAAAAGGCACAACTATAGAAACAGTAGAGAGATCAGTGGTAGCCAGGGGTTAGAGTGAAGACAGGGTGAATATTTAGTGCAATTAAACTACTATGTGTGTGTGTGGCAGTGACTATACAACATTATACATTTTTTAAAACCCATAGAATGTACAACACGAAGAGTGAACCCTGAAGTAAACTATGGACTCTGTGTGATAATGATGTGTTCATGTAGGTTCATCAATTGTAATGAATGTACTCTGGTGGGGGATGTTGGTGACATATGTGTGAGATTAAGGAGTATACAGAAACTTTCTATACTTTCTACTCGATTTTGCCAAGAATCTAAAACTGCTCTAAAAAATAAAATTATTTTTTAAAACAGCAATGGCTTTACAATTATTTTTAAAAATAAAATAATAAGAGGTTTAAAATTTCTTATCAGAATGGCCATCATCAAGAAGTCTACAAATAATAAATGCTAGAGAGGGTGTGGAGAAAAGGGAACCCTTCTGAACTGTTGATGGGAATGTAAATTGGTGCAGCCACTATGGAGAACTAAAAATAGAGTCACCAGATGATCCAGCAATCCCACTCCTGGGCATATATCCAGAAAAGACAAAAGCTAATTTGAAAAGCTACATGCACCCCAATGTGTATAGCAGCACTATTTACAATAGCCAGGACATGAAAGCAACCTAAGTGTCCATGGACAGTGAATGGATAAAGATGTGGTACATATGTACAATGTAATACTACTGGGCCATTAAAAAGAATGAAATAATGCCATTTGAAGAAACTTGGATAGACCTAGAGATTATCACACTAAGTGAAATAAGTCAGAGAAATACAAATATTATGACATCACTTAAATGTGGAATCTAAAAAACAGTACAAATGAATTATTTACAAAACAGAAACAGACCCACAGACACAGAAAACAAACTTATGGTTACCTAAGTGAAAGGATAGGGAAGGATAAATTAGGAGCATGGATTTAATAGATACACATTACCATACATAAATTAGATAATCAACAAGGATTTACTGTATAGCACAGAGAACTATATTCAATATCTTTAAATACAGCATAATGGAAAAGATTTTTTAAAAGAGGTTATATGTACAACCAAATCACTTTGCTGTACATGTGAAACTTTTTTTTAAAGAGGTTATATGTATAACCAAATCACTTTGCTATACATCTGAAACTAACCAAGTATGGTAAATCAACTATGTTTCAATTTAAAAAAAATTTTTTTTAAAGAAAGAAAATTTCCTAAAACTTAGAGACATGTTTGTTTGAAAGAGCCCACTACGTCTGGCATCACAGATGAAAACAGAGCCACATCAAGAAACATCACTGTGAAATTTGGAGCATGGGAACCAAGAAATTTTCCTACAAATTTCTAGAAGGAGAGTTAGAAAAGATCTGGATTCAAAATGCTATTGGACTTCTGAACAGCAATATTGGAAGCTAAGAGACAGTAGCACAGGTATTCAAAATTCTAAAGGAAAATTACTTCTTTTCTGAAATTCCGTGGTTTTTTGGATGTGTTCCCCCCAAGAAAGAGGAAGACCAGGGAAACAAGGAGTAGGAGAGCCACAAAGGAGCCAGGAGAGGGAATTCCCACGGCAGATGGCAGCGTCCATGTTAGAGCAGGTCAGCAGGCTCCGGGGGAGACTTTCTCGGGAAGATGAAATTGTGAGAACAGCTGATTTACCCAAATCTTTTGAAAGATTTATGTAAGTGGCTGAGAATTTAGGATTAAATCACTGAGAGGGACATTATGCAAACTAAGCAGATGGACAAATAAGACTATTATTATTAGGAAAAAAAGTTATTGAGAGAAAAGTAATCTTAATTATATGCTTTAGCAGAGAATATATTAGCATAATTATGCAAACAATAAAACTTTTGACCAATTTCCAAATTATGATCTATGTATACTGGTAGAATGAGGAAAAAAAAGGAATGATGCAATGGAAGGAGGATGGCAAGGAGGAGAAAGAATTAAATATTCATTGTAAACCACAGATAGTGCCTGCATCTGAAAACCAAGAAATCTAGAAACATGGAGGTAAACATCAAAAGAAATAGTTAAGGTCATAGTTCCTCTGGAGGCCAATGGGGAGGCAGGGAATTGTTTGTCAGAACTGAAGGCTTTGAGATTTTTATCCCACTTGCATGCTAACCAGTCAGCTTGCCATGGTCTCATGGAGGCTGGCAGAAGACACAGGACTCCCAGATCAGAGACAAAGAACAGTTTATTGGACGAAGCACAAGTATTAGAGTATTAGCTCTTTTTTTTAAAGTTTTTTTTTTTAATATGGACTATGTTTAAAGTCTTTATTGAATTTGTTGCAACATTGCTTCTGGTTTATATTCTGGTTTTTTGGCCACAAGGCAGGTGCACCCCCTGCATTGGAAGGCAGTCTTAACCGCTGGACCACCAGGGACGTTCCTAGAGTATTATCTTTTTCAGATTCCCTGAATGCCAGTTCTCACAGAGTAATGTCAAGAGAGCCATATGGTACCTGTACACACAGTGAGTTGCATTACAAGATAAGAAGTCTGAGCTTGGACAACCTGAATTGCTAATAATGGATATTTAAGTCTGCCTGCTTTTTGCTTCAGAGGAAGATGCTATCTCTTCCAAGGTTGTTAGCTATGCAAACACTTCTAAAAAGACTGCAGGGAACAAAGGAGGGCAGTCAGCATGCCTCACTCACCAGACATGCAGACCAATGGGGAAATTCTCAAAAGTGCTGTTTTTCACAATAAACCTCCTGAAATTGTTTGATTAAAAAAATGACATGCACGTATAACTTTCATAAAAAAGAAAATCTATTAAGTTAGGAATTTTACATTATTAAAACTCCTTGCCTAAGCCTTATTTCAACTGACTGGGTTATCTCTTCTTTGAAACGCAGAACCAAAATTGGGAGGAAAAGTTGTTGAAGGAAGTTTTTCAAAACTTCACGCAGGGCAGGCTGGTCCCAGTGAAGGGCGTCCTAACCCATCTGTGGCCAGGGCTGGGCAGTGAGGCTCCTGAGGCTGCCCTTCCCTGGCCACGGATCTGGGCCGGCTCCTACACGCCCTGCGAGCCGACCCGGCGGCCAACGCAGTGGCTGGTGGAGAGTTGCAAGCCACATGTGTCAAATGCCCGGAGCAGCACTTCTGTAGTTGTGTTTATTTCAACGATTCGGGATATGAACCGAGCCCCGCTGAAAACAAAACAGCATCACGGTCCTACTGACTAGCCAGCAGGGGCTCGCCGGGGGCTGAGGGCCCGCTCAGGAGGGGCGGGCCGCCCCGGGGACATAGGCGCCGTCCCCCAGCTGGTGTGCACAGGCACCCTGACCCAGCCTGGCGCTCAGCCCGCTGGCTCCCACCCTTGCCACTCTCTCGTCGGGCCTCCAGCACGCGCGGACGAGGGCCAGGGGCAGGAATGGGTGCTTCGCGACTCCGCGGAGAAGCGAGTCTGCACTCCTACCCCTCCCTCCCTCACCAGCGGACGCCTGCAGCCAGAGGGGACCCAAGCTGCGCGGATCCCGTTTATCAGCCCCATCTCCCATTACATAAGGCAGCGCCTATCTCCGGGGCATCGCTGCGACCGCGGGCCTTCTCCCACGCGCGGGGGCGCCCCTGCCGCCGCTCCCCGCTTGGTTGTGCTGTTCGTAGGGGGGAGGGGGCATCCCACTCATCCTGGCACAGGCCATGGTGGTTCCCCACTCCTTCCCCCAACACAGAGACCCCCCACTCCCCCAGGAGATGCTACTGACCCTGTTCTGCAGACGAAGAAACTTAGGTCCCACAAGCACTCCAGGCACCCGTGAGCCACAAAAGGCAGGGCCTGGCTTCCAGGCCTTAGGGTCTCAGTTACGCTAGGAAGCCTGGGGCTGGGAGAGAAGAGAGGGTGACAACCATGTTACCAGTGAGAGCAGAGGGTGGGCGAGGCTGGGCTTTCTCTTCTGAGCAGGAGTGACAGCCCCAGCGTCCCTTAGAGGACCCTGTGGGCAGGTTGAGCCCCGCTGGCACAGGACAGAGAGGCAGCCAGAGCAGACAGAGAGGGGGCCTAGTGCGGGAGGCACTGGCTCAGGGGAGGAAGTGGGTGAAGGAGCAAGTTTGACATCAGCACCCGATAGGCAAATACTGGGGCCTCAGCTGCATGAGTTTCTGAAGGACTTCTAGAGAAATGAGGGGAGAACAGGGAAATGGCTACCCTTCCAGTGTCCCTTCAGGGGGTGGGCTGCCCACAGGGGACCCCAGAGTGGGGCAGGCCCAGGAGTCACCCTCCACAGCCTTCAGTCTGCCAAGGAAACTTGATGACTCAGAGAGTGCAGGTTGGTCTCACAGATACTGGTGTAGAGAGGGGGTCGCCCCAGGTCTCAATGGCACTGGGGACAGTTACTTTCCAACAGGCCCTCTCCAGGGCGAAGGCTGGGTCCACCTCTTGCCAGCGCTGCCCTCTGAAGGTTTCCCAGCAAGATGAACCCACACTGAAGGCTGGGTGTGGCACCCAGTGTCCAGGCTGCACATACTGAGAGGTATCAGCAAAACAACCTTTCAAAGGAAAGCTCCCGCAAGGGTCTTTCAATGGAGACCTGGGAATCTGAAATTCCACAGTCCTTCACTGGGGCAACAGGGAATCAGATGGGTTAAAAGAAATGAACATCACTCTTCTTTTGTCCTGTTTGAATTTTGTATCCAGAGCAAGCATTGTTTTGGTAATGTAACAGAACTGTTCAATGAAAAAATAATCCCCCCAGATTCCCACATCTGATAGACTGTGATCAGAGCACTGTCTCAAGCATTTCTGGTGACCCAAAGAGATCTGCGGACAGGAGCTGGGTGGGCACTCACTAAAAGTGCTGGAGTTCCAGCTGGCATAGTTGACATCAGGCTGCCCTCAGGGTCCTCTCGTTCACCCCTGCAGTAAGTTCATCCAGATCTCGAACCTGCCGTAGACCCTTCTCAGTCACAAGTCCACAAGAAATCAAATTCTTTCCTTTATGTGACACTGGATTTTCCACAAAGTAAAATTAAGATGAGTAAAGATGTGGTTTGTAGATAGTGCCCGACAAAGCGGAGACCAGGGTGTGAGGCGTCACCACTTGGGCCTATAAAAGCTGCCACAAGAGGCTAAGGCCACAAGACACTCAGCTTAGGCCAGCCTATGTGTCTGCTTCTCAAATCTTCCCGTGCTGTTCTAGGCTCCATGGCGCTCTTATTGACTGCGGTCATTGTTCTTACCTGCTTTGGTGGCCTCACCTCCCCGGGCCCTGTGCCTCACCCTACAGCCCTCAAGGAGCTCATTGAAGAGCTGGTTAATATCACCCACAACCCAAAGGTGAGTGCCTGTGGGCCAGGGTCCCAGCTCTGAGGGGGCAGGGGTGGGGGGCTCTCAAGGAAGAAGCCCTGAGGACTGCGAGGTGAGTCTGGCCTTGAGAGAGAGGAACCAGGCTGGGGGTGAGGTGCAGCAATATGGATGGACCCATGAAGGAATATGGCAGAGACCCCAGGGACCACTTGCTCCCCTGGCCTGGCCCTGCCTGCCACGGTCAGCTCCTGCTCAGTGGTTTTGGAACAGAGGAAAGAAGAGAAGAGCTGACACCCTCCTAGAACTATTTGGCATTTGCCAACTAGATCTAAACACCATGATGGGGCCATTATTCACAGCATCTTAGTTAAGCCCATTCTTATGGAAGAATGCATTAGTGGGGTCAGCTCCTCTCCCTAGTGGTGACGGCCCACACTTTCTGAGCACTAATAATGTGCCAGGTGCATTTCTGGGGCTTTACATCTTATGACATTGCTGCCAACCACCTCAAGAGACACATACGATATCCCATTTTACTAAGCATCAGTGAGGTTAAATGACAAAAGTCAGATTCAAGCCAGTACTGGTTGACACCAGAGTGCCCGTGCTCTGAACTGTGTATCCCCAGTTCAGAAGGCAGGTCGTTTCCAGACCAGATTCCCACCACCTTCCATCAGGTTGGCCGGGCACCTCTGCACTCCCCCTCCCCAGCCCTGGGCCTTCCCTGCAGGCCCCCGCCAGTGTCACCTGCCCCCCACCCTGGCTATGGCAAGCTTCAGGCAAGGCTTGTCGCTCACTGGCGTGTCACTCAGCATTTCTCAGCTCTGAGCCCCTGGACAGGGGTCTCCCCCACTGTGCAGAGCGGGCAGTGAAGCTCGGGAACACTGAAGGGCCCGGGTCTGCCCCTGCTGTCCCGGGAATGCTTGTGGGGCCTGATGGCTGTGGAGGCCTGGCCTGGGACCCTGCCAGCACTCAGCTTGCTGTCTTTGCTCCCTCAGGTGCCGCTGTGCAACGGCAGCATGGTGTGGAGCCTCAACCTGACGAACAGCATGGTGAGGACCCCCAACACCGCGGGGATGCGGCCAGGGCTGCAGCCCTCTGAGGTCGTTTCTGAGCCTCGCTCACACGACTGGGGGGGTTCCAAGCAAGCTGCAAGAGCCACTCTCTGCCCCCTCATAATCTGGGCTCCCCTACCAGCCAGACCTGTCTCCACCAGGCCGCTCAGTTCCCCTCCTCCTACAGACTCACTGAACTCAGCCTGACTCCCCGGTGTTTTCCCCCACCCCCCACAGTACTGTGCAGCCCTGGACTCCCTGATCAGCATCTCCAACTGCAGCATCATCCAAAGGACCAAGAGGATGCTGAGTGCGCTCTGTTCTCACCAGCCCTCAGCTAAGGTAAGGCCCCACCGTCCTTTGACCTGGCACCCACTTCTGCCATCCCTGGGCTCACCCTGGGAGCCCCAGAGGAACCTGGCTGAGCATCTGAGGCATGTGTCCACAAAGGGGTGGGCCCACTGTGGAAGGAGGGACATGGCTTTGGGATTTCCAAGACATGGGCTTGAGGGCTCCCAACTCTTACCTGAGCTTCATTCAGTTCCACGTCTGTAAAATGTGGGTGATAACAGTACCCACCTCATGGGGGCTTTTGTGAAGAATGAACCAGCCGGTGAGTAGGTGAGTGGAAAGCCCCTGATGGATGCTGACCGTCCTCACTCTGGCGTCCCACCAACATGCTGGCCTCTTTGCCTTGCAGCAGGTTTCCAGTGAGTACGTCCGAGACACCAAAATTGAAGTGGCCCAGTTTTTAAAAGACCTGCTCAAACATTCAAGGATCGCTTTTCGCAAAGGAAAATCCAACTGAAATATGAAAAGCTAGCATTATCATCTGCAGAGGCAGATCCTGACCATCTAAGTTGCAGATTTATTTTTCTTTCAGGTGTCAGAAATTCCTTGGGGAGACTAAAGGAGGGTTAGGGAGGGGGGATAAGATGTCCTTAGCTTAGACTTGAGCCTGCACTGCCTGCCTTGAGCCTAGCCAACTTCAGCTGCCCTGTACCTTGATATCCGGGGCTCAGCCCTGCAGGCCTCCTCCATCCAGGACTCGGTGGACAAGGGTGGACCTTGCCCCACATGACCTCTCCCTCCTCAGAACAAACTGTAGTGTTTGTTAGACACCTGGTGGAGGAGTCACCTGCTTTACACAGGGGCAACTGAGGCAGAGAGCAGCCCAGGCATGTTCCTTCTTGGCCTTATTTATTATTGTGTGTTATTTAAACAAGTGTTTTTGTCTGTACTGGGGTTAGGAGGGACTGTTACTGCCAGAACTTGGAGCCTTGGGGCTCCAGCACTAAAGCAGTGGGCATTTGGAATCCCTGGCAGTAAGTACTGTATGCAAACTTCTGCTACCTCACTAGGGTCCTGGGGCCAAGGCAGAGGACAGGAGAGAGGGCCATAGTAGCCACTCTTGTCTGACAGCCAGCAGTGGGCCCTCAGCCAAGTAATTTATTATTTTTCCTTGTATTTAAAGTTAAGTATTAAAATATGTTGTCAAAGAGTTAATAATATATAGAAGTCTAGAACACTGCATATGGTATGTGTGGACTGAGTTGGGGGGGGGTCACTGAATAAACTGTTTCATTGATTTTGTCAAGCTAAAAGCTAAAATAAAGATGATGACAAGAGATCTGATGGTGTTTGCTGTTTATTTTGGCCTTTTGGGGATACTGGCCTGTGTTCTTAAAACTCTGAGGAGCTCTCTGGGAAGCAGGCCAGCTGGAGGAGGGGGCCTAGAATAAGAGTGGAGGGGGAGTGAGGGACGAGCCCTAGGCTGAAATAAAACAAGCAGACCCCTGGGGGAGAGGAGACCTGGCCAGGAGGAAGCTCCCCCACCACCACCCACATGGAGGCGGAGGAAGCATGGGCCAGGGTGTCGGGGTTCAAAGAGGATGTCTGGAGCAGGCAGAGACCTCGGAAGTGGTCTTATGACCACAGCTCTTGATGGGTGGCCAGCCTCTGTCTGGCACCACCCACTCGCCTTCTGGTATCACCCTATGATGTTCAGGGAAGAGGAGGTGGCTTACCAAAGGTCCCACAGCTGGTCAGGAGCAATGCCAGGGTGTGAACCCCAAACCTACTCCAACTCCATAGCTCACATATTTAACTACCCTGCCTTCCTCTGTTCAAATGCCATCTGGCCTGAATCCACGACCTTTATAATATTTTCACCAGCCTGTCTGGGCACCTCCCCTGATGGGTAGTTCACTACTTACTTTCTAGGGACAGCCCATTCAATTCTGGACACCTCTTATCATGAGACAGTGCACACTCACCATCTCTGTGAACAAAGAGTACCACT